TTTTTTTTAACTTACAATTGAGAAACTATATTGGGTTCTGTTGAATTTGGAGATACTAAAATTAGTAGATTATCTATTATAATGCAGACAAATTGGGCAATAAATATGTTTTCAAAGATACTGATTTTTTCATATACCATTTAAAAGATTAAGGTATAACTCACATTCAGTAAAGTTCACAAGTCTTAAATGTGTAGTATTTGTGCATATGTAACCACTGCCTAGATGAAGATATAGAACATTTCTAGCACCCAGTACCTGATGCCTCTTCCTAGGTTATAACCCATCCCTCGGTGGTAACCACTATTCTGATTTCTAATACCATAAATTAGTTTTGCCTGTTTTTGAACTATGTAAAAATGAAATTATATAGTATGTACTCTTCTGATGTTATATCATTTGAGTTTTAAGTGATGAAGTACTTGATAAAATTAAAATGTTAATTTTGTTTGGGGCTATATTGTTTTGTTTTGCCTTCTGTTTGTAATCAAGTAACCTATCGTCTTGTTACATAAATAATGCCAGGTTCTCAGGTTTCATCAATATTAGTGAAATGTATGAAATTGTCATTTTGTGGGTCAAAATTGGTTGAATGGTACTTTCCACCAGGCTTTGTTTCTGGTGATCTAATCTTCCTTTCAGCCATAATTATTGTGAAACCTCACCTCTTTACAGTTGTGAGAAACAAAGTTTAGTGAGTTCCTCTCTTTCCCATTCCTTTAGATGAGGAACATGAGGCACTGATGGGTTTAATGATTAGGCTGATATTACAGAGAGGTCATTGAAAGAACTGGGAATAGAAGCCAAGAATCCTGGTATCCTTTTCTCCTGTTCTAGATACAAATTAAGCTTTCATTGTGTTGGTAATTTCAGTATATTCACCTACTTGTGAATATACTGAGTATCAATTTTAATGCAGTATTATTTCCCCTTTTTTCCTTCAATAAGGTAATCAGGTTGGGGTGAATGATCAACAAATTATTTTTGTTTAAGGTTATAGTGAAGTAGATTGCTGATGGCTAAAATGTCATATTACATAGTGACTTTTTTAAATTTTATTTATTTATTTGACAGAGAGAGACACAGCGAGAGAGGGAACACAAGCAGGGGGAGTGGGAGAGGGAAAAGCAGGCCCCCCGTGGAGCAGGGAGCCCGATGTGGGACTCAATCCCAGGACTCTGGGATCACGACCTGAGCCGAAGGCAGACACTTAACGACTGAGCCACCCAGGCGCCCATACATAGTGACTTTTAATATAAGAAAGTAGGATTGATTGCCTTATTACTTTTCTGAGAGAAAATGAGTACACTTCCCCCAAAGAAGCCTGCATATGCTTTTAACAAGTTTTGATTTTTGAGGAAAAAGAATAGGATGTTCTTCAATGAAATGTTCTTATGGGCCTTTTATTATGTTTTTATGCATGTTTAAAAGTAATTTTTTCTTAAAGTAAACAATAATAGTTAAAATTACAAAAACAACCTTTAGGTTCTCTAATAGTACATTTTAATGCAACTGAAATAAGATCAGTGTGACTCTGAGAAATTAATTTATATTCATCTTGTATGAGTTATTCAATCACCTGTCCCGCTTTTATGAACTTCGTGGGAAATTAGCATTTGGCAGGATTGGTGTTTTATTAAATAAATACACCATTGGCACTCCCAAACCTTACTCATCAGATGATCTTAAAAAGGACTGATGCTAAACCTCTCAGGTAGATAATTAGCAAGTGAGCTGAAATTCTATGACTCCTGGGCGGGGGGGAAAGGGTTTTGCCCTACACACACTGTCACCTCTCTCCCATCCTCCACTCCCCATTGAGGGATTTGGCAGATGGTTTAGGACTTTTGTTAAGTGTCCTGAAATGTATAGGTTGTTTGAAATGAAAGAAAATTCTGAATTTAGAGGTCACTGATGCTTTATGACAAAACCAAAGAACTCTTGAGTTCAGCTCTGTGGTCATAGAGCCACTAAGTCTTAGGAACCAAAGAAAGCATTTT